CCACATTTTGTTTATCCATTCATTAGCTGCAAGACATTTGATTGCTTCCACTTTTTAACTATTATGAATAATGCTGCAATGAACATTCATGTACAAGTTTTTGTATGAACATATGTGTTTATTTTCTTAGGTATAGAACTGGGAGTCACATGGTAACTCTATGTTTAACCTTTTGAGGATCTGCCAAACTGTTTTTCAGAGCAGCTTTATAGTCCCATCAGCAGTGTATAATGGTTCCATTTTTTTCATATTCTTGCCAACATTCATTACTATGTTTTTTTTATTATAGCCATCATATTGGATATGAAGTTGTATCTCATTATGGTTTTGATTTGCATTTCCCTAATGAATAATGGTATTGAGTATATTTTTATGTGCTTATTGACCATTTGCTTATCTTCTTTGAAGAAATCTTAATTTAAATCCTGTGTTCATTACAAAAAATTTTTTTAATTGAGGTATAGTTGATATACAATATTATACTAGTTTCAGGTGTACAATATAGTGATTTGACAATTGTATACATTATGAATGTAATATAAATATATTTTTATATATAAATATAAATAAATATAACTTACCATAAATATAATTAACTACCTGTTACCATACAAAGCTATTACAATATTGTTGGTATTATTTTTTTTAAAGATTTTATTTATTCATTTGAGACACAGAGATACAGGGGGAGAGAGAGAGCGAGCATGAGCAGGGGGAGAGGCAGAGGGAGAGGGAGAAGCAGGCTCCCCGCTGAGCCAGGAGCCTGATGTGGGTCTCGATCCCAGGACCCTGAGATCATGCCCTGAGCCAAAGGCAGGCTTGTCTCTTATCTTGTTGATACAAGCCACCCAGGCACCGCAGCTATTATAATATTATTGACTATATTCTCTATGCTGTACTTTTCATCCCTGTGACTTATTTTCTTTTATAACTGTCAGTTTGTACCTCTTAATCCCTTTTACCTATTTTGCCTATCCCCCATCGCCTCTCTGCCAGCCATGAGTTTGTTCTCTGTATTTATGAGTCTATTCCTGTTTTTTGTTTGTTTTTTAGATTCTACATATAAGTGAAATAACATGGTATTTGTCTTTTTTTGTCTGACTTATTTCAGTTAGCATGATATCCCCTACATCCATCCATGTTGTTACAAATGGCAAGATTTCATTCCTTTTTTATGGCTGAGTAACATTTCACTGTGTATACATACTACATCTTCTTTATCCATTCATCTATCAGTGGACACTTATGTTGTTTTCATATCTTGGTATTTTAAATAATGCTGCAATAAACATAGGAGTGCATATACTTTTTTAAATTAGTGTTTTTGTTTTCTTCAGGTAAGTCCTCAGAAGTAGAATTACTGGATCATATGGTATTTCTCTTTTTTGTTTATTTATATTTATTTTTTTTAAAGATTTTATTTATTTATTTGACGGAGAGAGAGAGAGCACAAGTAGGCAGAGTGGCAGGCAGAGGGAAAGGGAGAAGCAGGCTCCTTACTGAGCAAGGAGCCCGATGTGGAACTTGATCCCAGGACTCTGGGATCATGAATTGAGCCGAAGGCAGATGCTTAACCAACTGAGCCACCCAGGTGTCCCTGGTATTTCTGTTTCTAATTTTTTGAGGAACCTCCATACAGTTTTCCGTAGTGGCTGTACTAATTTGCATTCCTACCAGTAGTGCGTGAGAGTTCCCTTTTCTCTACATTTTCGCCAATACTTGTCTCTTATCTTGTTGATACAAGCCTTTCTGACTATTGTGAGGTAGTATCTCGTTGTGGTTTTGATTTGCATTTCCCTGATGGTTAGTAATGTTGAACATCTTTTCATGTGTCTGTTGGCCATCTGTATGTCTCCTTTGAAAAAATAATTATTCAAGCCCTCTGCCCATTTTTAATGGTATTGTTTGGGTTTTTTGATGTTGAGTTGTATGAGTTCTTTACATATTTTGGATATTAACCCCTCATTAGATGTATCATTTGCAAATATCTTCTCTTATTCAGTAGGTTGCCTTTTCATTTTGTTGTTGGTTTCCTTCACTGTGCGAAAGCTTTTTAGTTTGATACAGTCCCAATTGTTTATTTTTGCTTTTGTTTCTGTTGCCTGAGGAGAGAACCAGAAAAATACTGCTAAGACCTTAAGAATTTGCTGCCTATTTTCTTTGAGTTTTATGGTTTTAGGTCTTACTTTTGGGTCTTTAATCCATTTTGAGTTTATTTTTGTGTATGGTATAAGAAAAAGGTCCAGTTTCTTTTTTGCATGTAGCTATCCAGTTTGCCCAACATCATTTATTGAAGAGACAGTCTTCTCTATTATATGTTCTTGTCTCCTTGTTATAGATTGACAGTATAAGCATGGGTTTATTCCTGGGCTTTCTATGCTGTTTCATTGGTCTGTGTGTCTTTTTTGTGCCAGTACCATACTGTTTGATTAGCATAACCTTGAAGTATATTATAGGCCATTTGCTTATCGTCTTTGAAGAAACGTTCATTTAAATCTTGTGTTCATTTTTAAAATGGTTTTCTTTTTTTAGTGAGTTGTAAAAGTTCCTTGTATATTCTAGATGCAAGTTCCTTAAGAGATACATCATTTATAAATACTTTCTCCTGTTCCTTTGAGTTGTCTTTTCACTTTCTAGATGGTGTTCTTTGAAGCACAAGAGTTTTAAATTTTGATGAATTCCTGTTTATTTTTTGTTGTTGCTTGTGTTTTGGGGGTTGTGTTTAAGAAACCCGTTGCCTAATCGAAACTAATGATTTTCCTCTATGATATCTTCTAAGACTTTTATAGTTTTAGCTTTTACATGTAGGACTTGGATCATGTTTTTTGTTGTTGTTTTTGAGGAAGAGAGAGACAGTGGCGGGGAACTGGGGGTGAGGGCAGATGGAGAGGGAGAGAGAGAAGCCCAAGCAGACTCCACACCCAGTGCAGAGCCCGATGTGGGGCTCAGTCTCACAACCCTGAGATCCTGACCTGAGCTAATCTGAAATGAAGAGTCAGACGCTTAACCTACTAAGCCACCGAGGCGCTCTGGTCTTTGATCCATTTTGAGTTAATTTTTGTATATGGTGTATAGTGGGGGGGTCCAACATCATTATTTTGCATGTAAATATTCAGTTGTCCCAGCACCATTTGTTGAAAAGACTGTTCTTTCCCACACTGAGTTGTTTTGGCACCCTTGTCGAAAATCAGTTGGCCTTAAATGTGATGTTTTATTTCTGGACTCTTAGTTCTGTTCCATTGATCTATAATGACTACTTCATACTTTTTCTAACTTATGATTAGAATGCCTTATTTGCCGTCTCCACCTGACAAAGTCCTGTTGCATGATTCCTCTACCAGAAGCCTTCCTTTCCCCTGCAGGTCTTTTTGTATAACTCTGCATATTTACAGCATTGGGCTTGTCACTTTACTGTGGTATGTGTATGCATATATATATCTCCTTTAGTAGTTAGTAAACTTATGGAGGGTAGAGACTGGACCTTTTATATCTGATTCCCAGAGCTTTAGCACAGTGCCTGGCATGTGGTATGCTATTAATACATTTATAGGAGGAATAATAGCAGTATTGAATTTTGTTTTGGATGTGTTCATTTCTAGGTATCATTAGGACATCCAGCAGCTAATATTTGATAGGCATTTTTATTTATTAATTGAAACTTGCTTATACCTTTTTTAAATTATTCATTTGTCAAATATTTATTGGATGCCTGTTGTGTTCCATTCGCTGTACTAGATTCTGAGGTACAAGAGTAAACAAAACATCACCCTACATTTATATAAATATAAATGCAATATAAAATTGTTTAAAATGGCTGGCAGTAAAACCATCAGGGAAATCCGGAGGCTGAAGGAGAGGTCAATACTGGTGATACAGACTTTGGAATCATCTTCACAAAGGTGATACTTGAAACTGTATAGTTAGAGATGGAATTGCCAAGAGATTGAGCATATAAAACCACAGGAGATTGTGCAGAGAGAGTCTTGAGAATATCTGAATTTAGGGGGGAAATAGTCTGAAATGTAGGAAGACCAAAAGAGTAGAACCTTGCAAACTAAGGGAAAAGAGAAAGGGAAAATACGTAGAATGGTAAAGGAGTAAGCCTAAGAAAGAACCATGGGTTCAGGTGATTAGTCATTGGTAACCTTAAGAATTAAGTTTTAAGGGACCTGCTAGAGTAAGTTTTTAAAAAATTGAATCCTGGGGGCTCCTGGGTGGCTCAGTTAGTTAAGCATCTGACTTTTGATTTCAGCTAGGTCATGATCCCAGGGTTGTGAGATCTGAACCCTATATCCGGCTCTGCACTGAGTGGAGCCTGCTTAGGATTCTCTCTCTCCTTCTCCCTCTGCCCCTCTCCACTCACCCTCTCTCTCTCTCTCTTAAAAAAAAAAAACAAATTCTGGGACTTTTTTGAAACAGTGAAACTGCTATGTGTTTTTTCTTACTCTGTAAGGAAATACTGTATCCATAAATGAAGAATTTAAATGTATACATTTAGATGTTATTCATCTTTGGGGGGGGGGCTTCATTTTTTTTTTTCTGAGACCTGAAAACTTACTCTGTACAGAATCTCTCTCAGACTTGTAAACCACTGAATTTCTTTCATTTTGAAAACCTTAGTATTTTTTTTTAAGATTTTATTTATTTATTTGAGAGAGAGAGAGCAAGTGTGCCCAGAGGGAAGGGCAGAGAGGGAGGGAGAAGAAGAAAGAATCCCAAGCGGACTCTGTGCTGAGCTCGGAGCCCAACTCCAGGCTCAGGCTCAAGACTCTTGAGACCATGACCTGAGCTGAAACAAAGAGTTGGACACTTAACCTACCTAAGCCACCTAGGTGCCTCAAACCTTGGTATTTTTTAGTTTCTTCATTCTTGCTATCAGAATGTATTTCTTCTTGGGTTAAAAATCATTTGACCATTATATGAATAATTGGTGTTGGTACATATAGACAGTTGAATTTGGTCCACTAACGTGTAACTGTTCTTTTTTCATTTTTGAATAGTGACAGAAATGTTGGTAAATGTTCTGAGTATTTGCTCTGATGATGAACTAATGACTGAAGGTGAAGACCAGTTTGATGGTATGATTATTCATTTTACTATTTTTCATTGTGAAATGGTATCTTTTAACTGCCCAGCTTCAGTACACACTCTTTTGCAAAATGTAGTCATTGTTCTCAAATGACTGTGCCATTTGATAAGTGTCAAGACACTTTTTCAGATGCTGTTTATTTTAAGATTTTTTTTTTAGCGATTTTACTTTTTTTCTATTGGTATGGGGAAGATGAATTTTGGGAAAAGGGAAATTTGGAAGAACAGAAGGAAAGGAAAATTGAAAGTACTAAAGAATGTGGTTCTTCATGAATATGGACACTGCTTAGAGGGAGGATAAAAATGCTTTTTGTTTTATTGGTACAGTCTTAGTGCATCAGAAACATACCTGAACCGGCAATGTTATTGTCACTCTTTTTTCCCCAAAACTAAGTAAAGTAAGCTGTTGCCAACTTATGAGTGGTTGTGTTTTAAGAGACCACCTATTGGTTTAGTTTGATTTTCAGAAGCATCTTTTCCATAGAAACAAGGTTAGATACGGCTGTTTGTTCTTATGTAAGCTAACCAGCCTATGTACTGATGTACAATCATAGTATAATTTAATACCATAAAAACAAAATTCCTTTTATTTTTATGTCTTGAAATTTTTATTTAAAACTTTTTTTAATTTAAAACTTTTAAATTTAAATACTTTATTAAACATGGTCTACATATTGGTACAACTTAATAGCTACATATTTCTAAATAATTTACCATAATTTTCATAGTTAATCTCATGTTGTTTGGCATTTGGATTGCTTTCAGTTATCCTTATTATGAATAGCATGCAATACATATGTTTGTACAGTAGTTTTTTTCTTGGGATAAATTTCTTGAAGAGAATTACAGAATTAAATGTATGTTTTAGCTTCATTATTTTAACTATGCACTGCCAGATTACTTTGCAGAATTGGACCAATATGAAATACTTTTAGCAATGAATCCATAGACCTCTTTCTCCACAGGCCCACCTCATTGGGTTTTGGTCATTTTTACTTATTTTGCTTGGTGGCTACATACTAGTGAATTACACTTGGTTTAATTTACATTTCCTTGATTTTCTAATGATTTTTAATTAAAAAAAATTACTGTCTACTTTTTCAAGTGTATAAACTGTATATCTCATTTGACTACTTACTAAGTACAAGCTGAGTAAAAGCTATTTAGAAGTTTCTTTGCTTACAAACAGGTTTAATTCTTAAACACTTTTGTAAGCCCATTTGTTAAAAGTACAAAGTGACTGTACAAGTGTCTGCTATTGCCATCTGTTGGTGGCAAGCAGAGATGTGCTTTTTACTCTGATTTATAGTTTTGTTAACTGAAATAAATTATATGCATTCGTTTTTGGTTTGGATAATAGGTTTTAATGAGTAATATTCATTTTTTTAATTTTAATTCTTTTGTTTGTGTAGAAGTTTTAGCTCTACCATATTTCATTATATTTGTCTTTTACATAAAATTTTTAAGTAGTTACAATTAAGTATTTTTTTCCCTATTCTGCTACCTTTTCCCTTTTTGTCTTGTTAGACTAGGTCTGGGTTCAGATTCTAGTTTCTCATAGTGGCTATATGACCTCAGGCAAATTACTTCGCTTCTCTGAGTCTGTTTTTTTATCTTCAAAATGAAGATAATAGTACCTACTTCATTCTCTTACAGGTATTGATATAATGACTGAAATAATTTTTGGTTCATAGCTCACTAATTTTTTCAGATAAAGTTTTCTGTTATATGTCAAATTCTGTGAAATATCAAGTAGCAGTTTTAATTGGTATCTCATTAAATCCATACCTGCATCTAGGAAGTTTTGTTTAGTTTTCTAAACTAAGATCAAATCTCTTGCTCTATATAATTAGTTCATTTACTATAATTACTGCATTTAATATATTTAATGTACAACATTCCATTTAAAATCACATAGTTTTTCTCTGAAAAAAATCCTTTATTAAGTTAAATTAATACTATAGTAATTTTTATCCTTATTACATCTGGTATGTCTTAACATATTTTTTGTGTATAAGGTATAATGTATTAGTGGGTTTATCTCATGACAACTTGGATCAGCAGAATTATTTCCTATGGTAATTTTTATTTTGTTTTCCTTTTAAAAATGTCATTTGCATAAGGCTTGTTATTTATTTTTCTACATTTTACCTTTATTTCTTTTTATTTTTAACAAATTTGTATCAATATTAATAGTGTTTTTTTAGTAGTATTTTAAATAGTGATGATAGGTAATGCTTTAGTCCTCTTCCTATAAAAAAATTTCCTTGTTAAGTCTATTATGGTTGGTGTAGATACTTATGATTTATATGAGGATAGACAATCATTTTTGGGATTCAACCAGGAATACGTATAAAATTTTATTATATTCCAAATGAGATTTATGTATCTAATCAACATTTTCCTCTCAGTTATAAATTATGCTTATTTATCCACTTGTTATATCACTCTTGCACTCCAGAGATGAATTAAGTTTGATCATTAAAGAGGTGGTATAGTTTAGTGAAAAGGATCAATGGTCTAGCTATCCTGGCGTTACCATTATGCTAGCTGTGTAATCTTGGAGAAGTTACTTAACTTCCCAGGATCTTCTTTCTCATCCATGGATTGAAGGAATAGAAAGGAAATAATTTTAAAAATTGGTAAGCTGTCATTTGTGACAGTGTTTCTACATGAAAATACACTGAGTTCCAGCTTTGAATGAAATAGATCTCCCTTCACTGCCAACATAGCAGGTATAATGACTCCTCATTTCTTCACCTTTCCATACCAAGTATTAGAAGTAAAGACTCCAAGAAAATTTTAAGAATATGAATCTGGGAGTTTGTATGGAGGAATGAGAATGGTTTGGGGAGACAATTGAGGAATGGAGGAAATGGGAGGAGATTAGGATAGATACTAGGATGGGATAGGGAAAAGAGCTACTGGAACTGGGTTTATTTCCCTTCCTTAATCACATTCCCGTACTTCTTTCCCTTAACTCTGTACCTCTTTTCCCCTTTCCTTTCACCACGATAGCATGCCTTTTGTCCTCTCCTTCCCCTTTTCCTACTCAGCAGTAGAACCATCTGATGAGCTGGGCATGGGGAGAAATCTGACTTAGAAAGAAAACTTGGTGGCATGGGGATTGCTGTGGAGGCCGAATAAAAGTTTAACTTCTCTGTGGGGAAAGGGAGAGAGCAGGAATGGAGCTATCCCAGTGGCAGGAAGGAAAGATAGTTTTTGCATATTTAGGGCTGACACTGGGTAAAGGAATAATACTTTCTTCTTAAGTGATAATCTTTGGTATTCTGCATTGTTTAATGTATATGTGGAGTTATTTTTAAAGGCAAAAATTTGCGTAAACATTGCATGTATAAGTGCAAGTAGCATTCCTTTTAGAGGTATTTAATCATTAAAGAGAATTTCTGAACACTGATTTCTGTGATATTTAGAATGCATACTATTTCTTTCAGATATTTATCTTTTGTCTTGAGTTTGGTAAAGGAAATACATAATCCACATGTTTTACAGTTTTACTAAACTAAAACTTTGCATTTCCTATAATGGAATCATGTATCTCTGCATTAGAATGGAAGATATGGAAAGCTCAAATGAAACATTTCTGCTGCCTACTCTTAGAACTGTTACTTGCTTTGAAACAATCTGTTGCTATTTCTGCAAAAAGATGTCCCTCAAGCTCCCAGATTGGATTGGGAACAGAAAGCACATACTGTTGATCCTGAGTATGTGCAAAAGTTCTACATTCAGATTCAAGAAATTATGTGTTCTTGTTATTTATGGAGTGTGGGAGGCTTAGCCTTTCCGTTATTCGAAGTGGGTAAGATTTTCCACTGAGGTAGTTGATAAAGTTACCTACATTTCTCTGTGTATACTATAGATTTTGCCAGTGTTGGTGTCCTTGAAGAACCACATGAGTTTGTATATCATTTGTGTCATTACCCTTCACTTAACATACTCCCATGGGTGACACATTTCCTTAGGGGTATCAATATAAATGTGCGATTGTTGTTTGCACAGTCTTTTATCAGTCTTATGTGTTTTCACGTGTTTTTTTTCTGTCCCTAATTTGTCTACTTCCATCAAATATTATAGTCATTCTGTCCATAATTTCTTCTGAACACATATCTTTTAAGAAATCTTTCCTTTAGAGTTCTACCTAGTGGCATCCCTCTTTTATTCACCAGATCCTACAGTACTACATTTTTCAAATTTCGAATATGAGGGCCTTCATTTTTCTCCCTTTCTTTCTACATTCATTCTTCAGTACCACTGCCAAGTTAAATCTCTATCTTTTTATTTGTCTCAACCACCTTTTCTCCATCATTCACTTCCTTTTTTCTGGACTCTCCATCTGAAGAACGGCTCATATATGGCAATAAAAAAGGTACAGACCAGACAGAGTAATATTGTTTTGAAATATGACTTCATAAGTTATCCTCATGTCCATGTAAGTTAGCACATTCATTGAGTACCATTTATGCAGAGTCCTTTTGGGCCTTGTGCAAATTTAGTGTAAGTGCTATCTGAGATAGAATTTGATGTTTTTAGAAGTCATATTCCAAGATTTCTGTCTTTCTGTGCATGGAAATATTTTTCCCTCTTTTTCATTCCTCTTGTTTTAAAACTTCATTCTTTTGCTTATTTGTAATGTTTTGTACTTTTCCCTGCATGATTAGGGGTGTTTGATTGTCTGTCTTATTCCCCAGAGTAATTTTACTGTGGACATTTACTTTAATATTATGCATGATGTGTTTGTAGACTGATTTAAAATCCTGACTTGTATAGTGTTTTTATATTCCAGTGATTTTTTAAAATTTGAAATCAGTATAGTTTACATATTTTTCAGTTTTACAGATAAATAAATTAAGGCTGAAAATACAAATGTACCTCATTGCAGCCATCCTCTCCCATCCCCATCCTCCTCTCCCCCAGTCTAGCTGTTTTTAAAATTCTGTCAGTTTTAAAACAATGTTTATCTTAATTCATTCAAAGAAATCAGACTTACCTTATGTCCTTGGACAAAACAGTTAATAAACTTAGTTTCTTTGTCTCTAAAATGAGATTATACTTTGCAATATTCCTAATGTCTCTTCAAATTCTAATGTTTTATGATTCTGAGACTTTTAGTAATTATTTTTGGCATCTTAAAAATAGCTGTGTAGTACCGTAGTACCTATGCAGTTTTGAACTTGCAAAAGCTGTAGCTTCAGTGCTCATAATATTACTCTTTAGAGCATCATAAACATAGTCCTGGAACCTATTTTCTCTAAAATATGTCTTTTGTTTTTGTCTTTGAAATTGGATTTCTTTTCTGTTTCCTTGCAGTAAGGTCCAGTCATCATCTTAGTTTTTAATTATATGGTGTTTGGGGGCTGCTTGAATTTTAAATGAGATGCTGTAGCCCAGAAGACTTATGGTTGTTCAGATCTCTATATATCCATGGCCCCTTTTAGTCTAGTCTCTTTAGCCTTTCCTTAACTTTCTCCTCAACCATGGTGCTTCTATATGTGTTTTCATCATGCTGAAGCACAGCTCTAAGGAACCACACTCTTGGGTCCAGAGTGATTCTGGTTGCTATATATAACAGGACTGAGATTGTTGTTCTTTCTGGAAGCCAAGGGAAGGAAGATACAACTTTGAGTTTTTCTTCAGCTGAAGATCAAGTTATTTTGATATATTCTCTTCTGTATCAGTGATAGGCAGTACAGCTAACCCTTTAGAGAGAAACGTGAGTGATCCTTTAGCTGTGCTTTTTAGGGAATCTTTTTCATTGTTCACTCTCCTTGTGTCATACTCACCTAGGGATGTAAGAGCTTGTATATATTTGCATGACCTTGAGGACATTTAGTCCGTGAGATTAAGATGTGTGGTATTGTTGATATGCTGGTATCGTCCTTAGTTCAGCGTCGTCTGCACAGTAGTTATTTCATACCATTGTTTTTAAACCCACTTAGAATAAAGAACTTACTCTGTCATAGTAAGATGGGATATTTCCAGCCTGCATGTCAGAGGCTTTTATAATAGTTAAACAGAGGCCTATACAGAGTTATTACCAATTCTTGTTTGTTAGTCTGCATGCATAGGCCCTCATGAGAATTAAACAAAGACTATAGGATTCTTAGCATTTTTTTTTTTTTTTTTGGTCCTCTGGTTTGTGATACAAGTTGGGTTCTAGTTTCTTTCCCATTGCTATTTTAATGATTAGCAGTAGTGTGAGAGTCATAATGTTTGTGGATTACTTTTCATTTGTATCTGTATCAGACCCCAGTATTAGACCAGGGCCGAGCTAAACATTGAAGGAGTGAGAGGCTTTCTGGTGGCAGAGAGTTTGGTGTTGGTTAAGATGAGCGTGGTATAGGTTAATAGAATGGTGCAAGTGTGGATGCCCTAAACTTGAGTCTTTTTTTCTATTTATTCCATTGAAAGTAGGTTCAGCTGCAGCCCGGAAAGAAATCATAAGAAACAAAATTCGAGCAATTGGCAAGATGGCAAGGGTCTTCTCTGTTCTCAGGTAATGATATATTTTCCTGACTATTTGCTTTACAGAAATTCTTTTATTGTACTTTGCTGTAAGCAGTGTCCTGTTTGACACCTAAAAGCAATTTAGTAGCATTCTTCCTATAAAGAAGTTAGTTGTACATTTACATATTGAAGAAGGGAACACAAGTCCCTTTAAAACTAGGGTCTTTGGCAGGTGGGTGGCAACAGGGAGCTGGAGGCCAAGAATTATTTGGAAAAACATCGGATTATGGAGTTGCTGAACTATCTCACCAGGGCCCTGCTCTTTTCCCGGCCAGAAAAGCCAAGAGAGTATTTAATATCTCTATTGGAACAACTGAGAATTGCCAAAATAACAGGCGTGGCTTTTCCTTTCTTTATGGATCACTCTAACATTGTGTCTATGTTTGAGATGATGGACACTTCAAATAAAGGCACTATATCATTTGTGCAGTACAAAGAAGGCCTAAAAACCCTGGGTCTGTTGAGTGAAGATGAAGTTTTAAAAGATGATGGACATGTAATAACTTTGGAAAAATTCAGATCTGAAGTGAAGAAGAGGACTGAGAAAATATGGTCAGCATTTTAATAACACCATAAGTCCAAGATAATAAATGATTCTATAAAGTTAAAAAAAAAACTAGGGTCTTTGACCCTTGTGATTATTATTGCTCACTTTTAGTATGTGTTACCCTTCTGTGATGAACGTACTAGTTCTACACCTTGAAAATTAGAGCAGGATAAGAAGGAAAAGGTACCTTTTAGAGTATTCCTGATGAACTTGCTCGTCCATATAAGATGTTCCTTTTGTTGGAGCCACAAATTATCTTCTTAGGGTTAATTCAGGAAGACTAGGTTTAAAGGCACACATAAATGAGTCATTCCTTAAAAATTTGTTTGCAAATCGCACTACTGGGTATTTACTCCAAAGATACAAATGTAGTGTTCAGAAGGGTCACATGCACCCCAGTGTTTATAGCAGTAATGTCCACAATAGCCTAACTATGGAAAGAGCCTAGATGTCCATCAACAGAAGAAGAGATAAAGAAGATGTGGTATGTACACACACACACACGCGCGCGCGCGCACACACACACACACACACACACACACACACTGGAATATTATGCAGCCATCCAAAAATGGAATTTGCCATTTGCAACGACATGGATGGAACTAGAGGGTATTATGCTAAGCGAAATAAGTCAATCAGAGAAAGACAATTATCATATGATCTCACTGATAGGAGGAATTTGAGAAACAAGATAGAGGATCATGGGGGAAGGGAGGGAAAAATGAAACAAGACGAAACCAGAGAGGGACACAAACTATGAGAGACTCTTAATCTCAGGAAACAAACTGAGGGTTGCTGGAGTGGAGGGGGGTGGGAGTGATGGGGTGGCTGGGTGATGGACATTGTGGAGGGTAAGTACTATGGTGAGTGCTGTGAATTGTGTAAGACTGATGAATCACAGACCTGTACCCCTATGTTAATAAAAAAAATTTTTTTAAATTTATTTGCAAAACTGGTTATCTCAGACATTTGAAATTTACAGCATAGAAATACCATATTTTCTCAATTGTATGATTCTCATTGATGATGAATCTCATCATATATTTAATAAAGCTTTTCAGAAAAAACAACATATGCCTCAGTTGTAAGGCATACCCTCTTATACTGAAATATTTAAAATATGGAACAATGTCTTATCTTGGAATTGAGGAAAATATGGTAATAACAATGAATGTCATAAATTATATACATGGCCTACCTCTGGGCCCCATCTCCTCTTTTAAACTAAAAACTTGTTGGAAGTCTCTGATACCTGTTATATCTCTTTGCTATAGGGAGGAGAGTGAAAGCGTGCTGACACTCAAGGGCCTGACTCCCACAGGGATGTTGCCTAGTGGAGTGTTGGCTGGAGGACGGCAGACCCTGCAAAGTGGTAATGATGTTATGCAACTTGCTGTGCCTCAGATGGACTGGGGCACACCTCACTCTTTTGCTAACAGTACACATAATGCATGCAGGGAATTCCTTCTGCTTTTTAGTTCCTGTCTCAGCAGCTGACACAGGCAGAATACTATATGATAGGTAGTGTCTGGCTAATAACCTGACCAGGGCAGAAAATTGATAGAATGGGTATTCCTTTCAATCGAAAATAATGGTCAGTCTCTCAGCTTTCAAAGAAATGATATGGGAGCAGCTCATATCATAATGTCTAAATATTTATTTATTTTTGTTTGTCTAATGCACCCTTTTCTTTTAAAAGCCCCAGTTTCAGAATGTGAATCAAGGATATCCATATTACTAAAATGGAAATGTAATTCCAAGTTTCTTATTTTTTATTTTTTTAATTTATGTAATTGTATTAGACTATGCTTATATTTTCAGATACTTAATTTTAGAATTAACAATCTGCTTGGGCCCCAAACCTTACTTATGCACTTCACTTGCCAAAAGATTTGTGCAAGGTTTTGTACCCTGGTAAATGATGCCAAAGTTTGTTTTCTGTGGTGTTTGTCAAATGTTCTATGTATAATTGACTGTCTGTAACATGCTGTTTTCTTCCTCTGCAGATGTAGCTGCTTTCCTAAATCTGTCTGTCTTTCTTTAGGTTAGCTGTATGTCTGTAAAAGTATGTTAAATTAAATTACTCTATCAGACACTTGTCTGTCTTTTGATGTAGAAGCAACTTTGTAGCACCTTGTTTTGAGGTTTGCTGCATTTGTTGCTGTACTTTGTGCATTCTGAACATGAATGTAACATTAGATATTAAGTCATTGTTATAAGGGGTTGAATTTAAATTCTGTAAGTCAAAATTGAAAGGGTGTTATTAAGTGTGCCTTTATTTTGCATGAAAATAAAAAGAATTATACCTAAAGCATTCCTGTAATCTGGCTCATTGAATATTTTATATTAAAAAAAACTTATTTTTTTGGCGTAAATATTTGTGTAAATACTGGGTTAACTTTTTGAAAGCCCATTACAGATTAAAAAGAAGAGAGTGATATGAATGTTTTAGAGTATACACAATAACTCAAAGTCTAGATTTCTTTCCCTTGTGGTTGGAAAGCAAAATATCTGATATGGAATAGCTTTAATTTCTATGTTTTATTGTAGCCACTTTTGACAGCCCTCCAAGGGTCATTGCTTTGTTAAAATAGGCAGCAACAGATCTGATGTTTTCCTTAGTCATGGCTGACTTTCTTCCTGGTGTTGTAATTAGTGAATTTTTTAAAGCAAAAAATAATTTAAAATTTTGAATAAATTTAAAGTAGATAGACTTTTCACAGTCTCATTTCACTCAGTCTCATAATAAATGCCTAAATAAATAAGCAAATTTTTCCTGTAGACAAATAATTTCTACTTGTAGCCTATACATGTTCTATTTTATATGTTAGTGTGTTGTCTGCTACCACCACTGGTGTGTGTGAGAAGTACAGCTATGGTTTAAAACGATAGTTTCAAATTTTCGTTCTGAATGAGGTTTCCTTTTTTTTTTTTAATTAAAAGAAAAACTGCTTTGATTTTCTTTATATTCCTTGACCTCCATTTTTTTATATTATAGACATTAGCAAAATGAGCTAAAAATAATTTAGCTAAAACAAAGATCTTAAACATTCAATAAAACTAGCAAAAGTAAGCGTTAATAGAAAAGGATGAACTTTAGTAGCTTGAAAAATGTTATACCCTTTCTCTTTTTTGTTCATAAAAGAAAAGGAAAACTGAAAGGCCTCATACTTTAATAAATCTCCACTACAGTCATCTCTCCATTATCCTTGGATGTATTATTTACTTTTACATTGTATCTGCAGCAAACCTTTCTTTCAGATTTCACAATTAGTACCTGCTAATTACATGCTTTGTTGGCATCTCAGCACTTCTGCTCATTCTTAATTTGCATGCATCCTGAAGCTCGGTCTTCCAACTTTGAACTCACCCCCAACTTCAGGGAAGATGTGAAAGACAGTTTTACTGAAGGGACTGTATTCCCAGCATAGAGAGAGTTACAGGACAGTGCTGAGTTTAAGGGGTCTAATTTGCGAAACTGGATAGCTCCCTAGCTGTGCCAGTGATGGCTCTTGATAGTGTGGAGCAATTTTCCTAGCATAATAAGATAAACCCATTTTGAAGCACATAACAAAACTCATACAGAAGCTGCATCTGTGTGAGTTAAATTTTTTTTCTAATATTTTGTTTTAGTAGACATGTTCTCTGATGTGAGTGAGAGTTAAGTATTGCAGAAAGGTTTTAAAATTCTAATACCTCAGTCCTGTTGTCAGAAAAGTCTGATTGCCTTCTCAGTAACCTTAAAGTTAATTTATATTTCTTGAGTGTTTTCACAAACTACACAACTCTTTTGGAGTAGGAATTAATATATTTTGTGTGCATTTTCTTGGAAATTTGTTTGGGAGCTAGCCCTATAATGCTACCTTCACCAGGACATATATGGGAAAATACGTGGCCATCTCTTTTAGTAATGCCAAATTCTTCTTCATTATTGAGGAACACAGTTTGTGACAGCACTGTACACAAACTTACTAAGGCCATGTCAGGCTGCCCTATAAAACTGAAAACAAATAGAGGAAAAACAGTGCCTTTCAAATAGAACTTAACAATTATCAAATCTCTTTCCAGCTTAATGTTTAAGCTTCAAATGACCTTTTTTTCAGTTCTAAACATTCAAGCTTGACATGGAATACAGTTTTGAGTGTGATATGTATTTTGTATCCTGAAAGGGATTAGGGGCATTTAGAAGCTTCTCGAAAGAGCAGAGAATATAATTTGATCTAGGACAGGCTTTTACATATAAAATTAAAATGATTTCAGAAGTATGTTGTTATAGTTCATAATTTGAAAAATTTATTAATAGACTTTTAAACTACTGATGCACTCAAATAGATACTAATTCTTATAGTGATATCAGGTTTTATTTTTAATTTATTACCATATATAATACAAGTTATGAAATATTTCATATAAAAATCACTTCTTTTACCATAAGCTCTTTAAAACATTCTGATAGGCATTTTTTTTTCCCATTCAGTGTAAAGAAAATAGTCCATATTTTGAAGAATAGAAGTTGTAGGGCTGATCAAGTAGAGGTGGGTCATTTATCCCAGTTTTCTGTCTGGGAAGATACAAAGAGTATATTCCAGGTATACAGAGCTAGACTTTTTAAAATGGTGATTTGTATAGTGGGTATACAATAAATATGTCTGCTTGGATTTGTAATACAGTTTAACAGTTAAAGAAGATTAATTTTTTTTTTTATTCAGTGTTCATCCTACCTCTTTTGGGTCCCCAACTCACTTTACTATCTGGTTAAGATCAATGAATTTTTAATTAGTCTACTTTAATTCCTTAGATTAATCAGTTTTCTTTCACATTAATAACTGCTTTGGACAAAATTTATTATTTCTAAATCTAATTGCCCTCATTGTAGAAGAAGCAAAATAGAAAGGATGGGGCATTATTGTTATAAATATTCTGAGTGTGTGTACTTTGGGTAAAGTGGAGAATTTGCAATGTTGTCAGGCAATATTGTCCTCTGCAGTCTTTGATCCTGGTCCTCAATGTGGGTGCTTTATGCAGTTTGAACCCAGAAATGAGCCAAAAGAATGTTTGACTATAAAATGTATGACTAAATAATGTGATTCTTCAAATAGGCCAGAGGCAAGCTATACTAAGAATGCATTTCTCACTTATATGACCTAAGTGTATGTCCATATCAAATAAATTGGAATTTATGCCTGTAAGACTTCAGTTCTATCTTGATTCCTCTCTAGTTGGAGATGGGCTTGAAAAGATGTACGTTGACCTTTCTATCTTCATTTGAGAATGCATGCTATTAGTACCAAAGCAGATTTGAGTTTATGATAAACTGAACATAAATAGCTTTTTTTTAAAGGCTATAGATGTTATTATCTTTGGATATTTGGGACACCAATGTTAGAATAGAAAGGAAGTTCCTAATAGATGAGAGGGGTCCTTTTAGGATCCACAAACAACAGAGCAACAGAACTATTCTACTTAGAGTAATTCACCAAGTTTACTGCCCTTAAGTTTCATTGTAGTCATACCAGCTTCTGCAGGTTTGCTATGCCTTATGAATTAGAAGCAACAGGAAAAGCATTACTGACCCCTTCTAGTTTATATCTTATGGAACAACTGATAATGAGAATTGTTTCAGTTAGATGGTAGGGGGGAGGGGGAAGAATCTTCTGTTTGCTTTTCTGCTACAATTCTGCCATCATAATTTCACCGTAGAGAATTTCCTTGTGATTGTGATGGATGTGATATGATAAACATGTTGAAAAATTCTAAGGCCATCAAAATACTGAATTCACAATAGGTAATTAATACTGGAGTGCATTTGCATGGGTGCTGAGGTGTCTATGTTTATATTAGGTCCATGTGTTCTGTGCTCTGAGCGATGTTGTCATAGTGCTGTGTGTAAATTGTGCTGTGTCAGGAATTGGGGGATTGATGGGGCTCTCTAATATGGATATTATTTATGTTAAATTGTAAATGATGATGTAGTATGGGATACTGTGATATTTTACGTGATCATTGCCTTTTCTGCTGTACAATATGACCCTTCTCATCTCTCTCATTCATTTTGCATGCCTCTGCTCACTTCTGTACAGCCACAGTTGAGGCTATTGAGGCTGAAAAAGGTACGATCAGAGTCCTTGCGCTGGGCAGAGATCTGTGGTGTGTGGGTGGGCATCAGAGAATGTCCTGTGGGTGTGTTTTACTCCTAGTTTGCGCAGCCCAAGATGAATCAGACTCACTGACTCATCAAGTTTAACAGTCACATTCCTCTTTTTTTTTCTTTTCTTTTCTTTTTCTTCTTTTTAAATTACAAGGACCGATTTTCCTAGTGACAATCTGGTTTTCCCCTTTTCTAGTGTTGTGTACAACCAACATTTACTGTTCCTGAATTCTTTAGAGTGCAGCATGTTATGCTATATATTATAGCATTTGAAGTTGCAAAGAAAGATCTATTCTACATTTTGCATGATTCTATGCTATTCAGATCATTTTTTTCCTAAGTGAAAGCCCCTCTAGGTATAGGTTTGAGTTGGTTTTTACTCGTTTTCAGTAATTCACCTGAGAGTGCAGGAACTGTCACTATGATTTTTATTTTATTTTTTTTGCTGTTTGGCCTAGCGTTTGCTGATAATAATATATTCATATATATCATACGTTGGCTTGATACTACACATTGCTAAATGCTTTGCCGCCCCAATTATTTATTTGGTTCACATGCACAGACTCTGAGTCCCAGGGATTGCACATATTAAAGCAACCAGTTTATAACCAGTGGAATGGAAATCTTTTGTATGCACAGTTTAATAGTAGAAAAGCATCATTCCAGATAAAGTGAATGAGAAATTATAACAACTGGAGGAGGATTGCTATTTATTTTGATTTGGGTTTCCAAATAACATGCAGTGAATGGCCATTGAATTCAGGAAGACATTTCCTAAAATATGAAACTGAATACTTTTTACTATCAGCCAAATACAGATCTGACTCCTGGAGGCATTTCCCACCTTTTTCATTTCATTCTGGTGGTGATGGGATGATGATACCTTGACCTCCAAGATAGTTCTTATCTGCTAAATTTTAACATACTTTGCCTCTTTCTTCTCCCAAGCTCTTGGTACAGATTTGTATGTCAAGGTTAACCTTGTTTAGCCTCCTCACTTGCCCCTACTCTTGTTGCTGCCTTATTGTGATAGTCACTGGTGATTTTAGGGTCTGAGGTAGGAGATAATTGGTATCGTAGAAGTCAGACTGAGACCCTGAGACCATTGCCTGTAGGTTAATTTTGGGGTCAGGGAAGGGTTATTTTTGTGTGTTCTTTTTTAAAGGCTATGCTAACACTTGTCATCTATGAAGCTATCGTGTTTATATTTAGGTTTAAACATTTCACATTTTAAGGGGAAGTCTGGAATGGGGATAGGATTCAGTTAAAGTAAGATTTAAATGTTGCTACATACAGCTAATTTCTTTCTTCTTAAAAATCATTAATTATGTTTTGAAATCTCAGAAATGTTTTTCTATTACTGACTTATCAAATTTGCATTTTGTTAAGCAATACGAGGATTCTCTCCACCACATAGAATCTGCAGTTTTGAAGAGGCAAAGGGTTTGGATAGGATCAATGAGAGAATGCCACCCCGGAAAGATGCTGTACAGCAAGATGGTTTCAATTCTCTGAACACCGCACATGCCACTGAGAACCACGGGACTGGCAACCATAGTGCCCAGTGACCCACGGCTTCCCAGGGACTCTCACATCTCGGGCCCCAAATGGACAGATCACCCCCAGGATCTGGAGGGGTCGGCCAAGCTGACTGTAAATGTCACAGTCCCTCTGGAGAAACCATTGTGCTTTTGAGACCCCAGCCCCCTTCCTGGATGGAGGCTTGAGGGCCCTGGGACATGTTGTGATATCTGATAAGATTGGGTCATCGCTGGGAAGGTGGAGAGCAGTGAGCAAGGGGCTTGGGGCAATTTCCAGTGGAGGGCAACTACACCTCCATTTATGCTTGTGGTTCACACATTAAGTTTACAAATGAGATTTCTTTTTCCCCTCAGTAGAATTAGATTTTGTTTTTTAACCATGACTTCAAATGCAATCCTAAGAGCTAATGTGGACTTTTTTTTTCCCCCATGAAATGTCTTTAAAGGATGAATAAGCATGGTCTTAAAATACATTTCTAAGGTTACTAAGCTGTATTTTGAATTATGGGCAAAATGCTGAGAAACCCAGTTGGCATTTATATAAAATGCTGACCTCAGGTCTATAGTTCTTAAATGTGGCTAATTCTGTAAAATAGTCTTGGTATTTTTCAATTATGAATGCATAACCTATTTCTAGGCAGACTCTCTTACTTGAACACAAATCCAAAAACTAATTTAGAATCTTTTTGCCCAGATCTTTTGAAATTTACACCCCAGAGATTTAAGAAGAAAACCTCTAAATTTCAAAATTATGAAGAATTACAGAATTACTCATTTAAGGTACTTTAAAAGAAGTTTGTACATTGTCAAAGTAAATTTTAATTCAAATCATGTCTGTAAAACTTGACGTATTTTGTGTATGCATGTTTTCATTTTGCAAATATTTAATATATAGACCTATGATGTACAGGTACGACATGTATAGGTTACCTAGATGTTATGAGAAATTTTAGTTTATTGTGAGTACTCAAGTTGCTTAAATAGCCACCAGGGTGATTTGCTGCTGGCTTTCTATCATTTTTATGTTTTGATGCAAAGGAAATTTAAAAATGTTCTGGAAGTGTTTTTGATTAAGCAATGCAGCATAGAAGCAATGGTTCTGTTCAATCATTCAGATGTTAGTGGAAGCATAAAAGTCAAGATTGCATGTTGAACCTTTTCTTTTGATAGTTACAGAACTGCTTGGTTAAACTAAATGGAACCATGTGCTAATTTTTCACAATTACTGACCTGTATTGATTGCCACTGTAGTTTGGTATTTCCCTTTACTTTGGTGGCCTGCTTCCCTCATGCCCTGGAATACAACTCAGAGCTCCAGGCAGCGGAACCATCTATTGTTTTGTTTGCCAGAAAGTGCACCCTGTATGGTCTCCTGTCTAAGTTGGAAATATTATGCATGTGCAGGACTATTCGAGTATTTTATAAACAGTAGCACACAATAAATTCCATGCATGGGCCGCTGCTCCTATATCTGTGTTGGGTTTTATTTGGAAGATGTAGTCTGATTTGACCTCATGCAAATCAGAAAATACTGTTACTAGAACTGGGATATAGCCTTCAGAGATTATCTCGTGGATAGTTCATGGTAATTTGATAAATTTGTGTCTTCATAAATTTTGGTGTTTTTCTTTTTTTAACTTTGGTTACATTTGTCTTACATGAACATTAGTAACTAAAAACTAGAGTACTTTGGGTGCCTATTATAGGCCTCCTAAATCTAATATTTAAAATCACTATTTCACTTAACTTTTAATTGAAAGAAAATGTTACTGTTTAGAGTTTTGTTATAATAGTATTGGGAATTTATTGGGTGTTTTAACAATAAGAAAAAGAATATTCATGATACTGTATTTTCTTGCCATCATATTCCTTTCTTTTTCATAATCAAAATAAGTATGAAATTTTGCAAATTGAGGGAAATTAGGATATTGCTCAACATTTTATAATATAATCATAGTAACTTTAATTACAGTTTCCAACAATAATTATAATGATACACATTTTACAAAGCACTGATTTAAATTGAACTGTATATACTTGCCTTATTCCAGGTAGCAAACAGAACTCAAACTGTTGATTATTACAGCTTTTAGTTGCTGTATTATTAGCTTGCATATATAGCAGTCCATGAGCTACTCTTAAAGTTACTATACACTGCATATGTTTAAAGGTTTTCCTGGATGTTATTGTTTTATGAAAACTATGCATCTCTAAGAGCTTAACTAGTATATCAGGTACCAGGAACTTCCTTAGCCCTTAGGTCCATCACTGGGGTTATATAGTGTTTATGGGAATCTTGGGTAAACATAAAACATCATTAGCGAACTAGAAGAATTATGGGTTGATGGTAAAGATTAAAAAGAAGAAGAAAGTAAGAGAAAGGAACAGAATGCAGAAAAGTAGTATATATTAAGAGTGGTAGAAAAATCACCCAGTGCCTCACAGACCACTTCCTAACTGTTGAATAAGAACCTCTTTCTAGTCTTCATAACTGTGAACCATAGAAATATTTTTTAAGGTTTCACAATGAACCATAGAAGCATTTTTAAGGCTTTTTTAAAAATGTAACTTACGATGAAAACAAACTGTGAAAAGTTCAGATCTTTCTAAATTGTAAATTTAAATGTCTACCAGAGCTAGTAGTAGTGATGGTAAAATATAAATTAATATTCAATATCAATTTTTTCTATCTATTATATCCCTTTATATTCAAAGATGACACTTCTGAGTTAGAAAAGACCATCTCGGGGCGCCTGGGTGGCTCAGATGGTTAAGCGTCTGCCTTCAGCTCAGGTCATGATCCCAGGGTCCTGGGATCGAGTCCCGCATCAGGCTCCCTGCCCCTTGGAGAGCCTGCTTCTCCCTCTGCCTGCCTCTCTCTCTCTCTCTCTCTCTGTCTGTCTGTCTCTCATGAATAAATAAATAAAATCTTTAAAAAAATAAAAATAAGTTAAAAAAAAAAAAACCAAAGACCATCTCTGACTTCTTGTGCCTTCTGCAGTTCAGCCATTATTAACAGAACTCATATCCTTTAAAAGTTTTGCCAGTTAAATTTGAAATAGGCCTGAAACCTTTGCTTAAAATGAATTACTCCTGTTTTACTCGGGATTTTTGCCTATTGCTACTGATTTTCTTTTCTCCACAGCTATTCTGAATAATATGTAATGTTCTGTTGCATCCTTAACACTTACTTTCACCTTCCCTGTGTGTAGTTGCTTTCTACAGTTTGGGGTTCCTTTAGAATCCATCCTCTGCATCTGTTCATATGTAGATTTTTGATTTGCCACATTCCAGGACCTCAAACTGACTGCAAGTTGTTCTGTTCCCCAGTTTGATGGTGTTCACAGAAGCAGGTAAGTGACATAGCTAGGGCCAGATGTAAGCAGAAAGTTAGGTCTTACAGTCATATAGGACCACTGCCTTGTTAATTTCTGGTAGACCCTGGAGCTTGATAAATGAAAAGGAACTAGGAATGTGTAATCAGATTCCCTGGATCAGCATTCATTATAGGAAGGAATAAGATGTTTGAATTGATTCTTTTGAATTTTCTGTTCCTAGAAACAGAGTACATTTTTAGCCAATAATATTTTGGTTTTGCTTACTTTATTCCTCTATTTATTCCTCTTTTGAAATAAATAAATGGAGTGTGCCTGATGACAAAGTACCTTGCTCTCCTTTCAGAGAAAGTGAATTTTACAAATTAATTTTGTTTCCCCTATAATTGATTTCCTTCTGTACCATTAAATGACCATTTGTATTCTTCTTTCTTGGGTATTATGTTTGTTTTTAAGCCTAGATTGATCATTGTTGAATTGTGTTTGAGCAGTGTTTGTTATGCTCAAAGGGACTTTGGGCTTGGGTTAACTCATCCTGGGTCTAGATTGACATCCAGAACTCCAGGAGTTCTGTTGGTCTGAGCTAGTGCCTACCTTTCCAACCAAATAATGACTTCTGAACTAATCCCAGGGTTTTTGTTTTTAATTTTTTCTTCTCTGACTCTGTGGACTGAGAGCAGAAATACTGCCTTAGTGAGAGAGGTTCAGGAAGCAATAGGTTTCATCTTTCCTTAGCCTGCCTGGCCTTTGGTGAGTTTGGGAGTGTTGACAGAATTCTGAACCCTCTTGGCAGAGAAGGAAGGTCAGAAAGAGAGAAGTCCATGGGCATGGGTCCAGGTCCCTCCTTACCTCGTTAGGGAGAATTCAGCGTTGTCTGTCTGGTTGGCAGGGCACACCTAATCACAAAGACTCAGCATTTCAGCAGTTTGCAAAGGAAAGTGATATGAAGGGACAGCTGCAAGTCAGCCACAAGCTAGATATGAGGAGATCAAGCATTCACTTGGAAGAGAGAAGGAAGGAAGCCGAGGGCTTAGCAGGGTAAGTTACTTTTCCATCAAACCATCTGCTTGCTTAGTTTATAGTTGAGTAAAACATTTATCACCCCAGGGAGTGTTAATCACTGATTAAGAAGCTGAATGTGCTTAATAATAGCAATATTCTTAATGTATTCCTCCTTTTCTCTTTCTCTTTCCCAACTCCTTTTAGGATCCCCAATGACTAGCATCATTTACCCCTTTCCCTATCTCCCCAAAGCTGTTTTGTGTTTGCTGGTGAGTTAGAGAAAATTAGATGGGCCTTCCTGGTCTGGAGATAGTGAGAAGGTAACTGGTTTGGGTGAAACTTGAGGCTTTTGGTGATGAAGGAGAAAGATGGGAGACCTGGTCTGGGAATAGGCTAATATTGGAGGGAATTTGGAAATGAAAAGAAGAGTTTTTCTAGACCGTGCAGTCCATGTCTCCTCTTCTGTCCTTGGTGTTTTCTCTCTTATGGGAATAAATTAGAGCCTAAGTCATTGGGGATGGCTAGAAAAAAGTTAAAGTGATTCCCTGCTAGGTGAGGTAGACTTTGATCTCTGGAAAATTCTTAAAGCTTTTTATATATAATTCTTTCCAATTTCTCCCTTGTCCCCTCTGTTTTTTGCCTTAGTTTTCTCAATCCTGTCCCTCCCCTCAAACTTGGAGGATCCTGGAGCTCACTGCAGGAAAGTTAGAACCAGGGAAGCTGGGCCTGGGCCTGGGGTACACAAACTCAGACATGAGCCTCATGTAGATACAAATGCACCTTCTTACCTTCCTCCCAGAAATTTAGTTCATTTGTATCATGAACCTGCTCTAGACACAGAGGAAACTATCAGGGATTTCATCACCACCACTCCTCCCCCAAACTGATCCTTTCACTTCCCAGCCAGTTCAACCAACCCCCAGAGAGCCAAGAGTTAATCTTCCTTGGGAGAAAGATGTCTTTGGAAAGACAGATAAGTTAGGCAGTACATTTCTGGTCTTAATTGGTCTCAATTGCAGCACGAGGCTTTTAGTTGAACATTAGGTATATTTATTATTACTCCTGGGATTTAAGACTCTTGACTTGCCTCAAATCAAAGATGATTTTTCTCTATACCTTTAAAGAAAGATGAATCCATTCTTTCAAGGTTCAAGAAAGAGGGCAAGTTATCTTGCCCAAAGAGGCTGTGTAGAGAGAGCAGAGGAATGCTTTTCGAGTTGCAGTGATTCTGGAAATTGGATGAGGATGTGTAGAGATTAAAAATGGAAGGGGCGCCTGGGTGGCTTAGTCACTTGAGCTGATTTCAGCTCAGGTCATGATCTTGGGGTTATGAGATCAAGCCTCAAGTCGGGCTCTGCACTGAGCATGGGGTCTGCTTAAGATTCTCTTCCTCTCCCTTTGCCCCTCCCCTGCTGTTCACACAGCAGCATTCTCTTAAAAATAGATAGGATGGATAGATAAATGAAATGAAGTAAAGTATATTTTTTTAAAAAGTGGAGGGAAGAGTCAGGTCAGTTGTTGGAAATGGGGTACTCAGGTGTGAAGGCATCCTTTAGGAAAGGGACATGACCCTTTAATAATCTGTCACCTTCAGGTCTAATTTCTCCTGTATTGGCAAGAATGTAGAAGATATTATGCGCAGATGACCTTAGCTATCTCTGTGGACTCTGAAAACATCCAATTATCTGTGGGATGAGGGGAGAGATTACAGGAGTGCAATGAAAGGATGAGAAAGTACAAAGGAAAATACAAATTCATTCCCTCGTTAACTAAGGACAGCAGTTTGCAAGAGCCATGTTGTAAGATAATAGATTTTTTTATGTTTTTATTTTAATTCCAGTTAACATACAGTGTTATATTAGTTTCAGGTATACAGATAATAGATTGTAGCTGGATGATTCTGGGAGGTCTTTGTTCTGCCACCTACACCTCAGCTGAATGATGATTCTTGGAGTTTTTTCCCTAACAAATCTGGTCCAGAAGGATTAAATGTCAGACTATTTTTGTAACAAAACATGATCCCTGATCATGTTTTGTACTTTAATAGTTACCTTATTTAGAGTAAAACCAACCACGGTTATATCCTCTGCCATTTACCTGTCCCTAGAGGCAGTTAATCTGAGGGTTAATAATTTTTTAGCTTCTTTGGGACGCCTGGGTGGCTCAGTTGGTTAAGCATCTGCCTTTGGCTTCCATGATCTCAGGGTCCTGGGACTGAGTCCCGCACTGGGCTCCTTGCTCAGCCAGGAGCCTGCTTCTCCCTCTGCCTGCCACTCC